TAATTTTATACATTTCTTGTGAAAGAAACATTTCTTATTCAACGGCCATAAAAATTATTTCTATTAATGATGTCTCCAAAGTTCAATGAATTTTTCGCAGAAAAATAACATCAGAAATCGCGGCCGCCATTTGATGCGCTGCTCTGCAACGAACACAAGTTTAAGCAATGGTGATGTTGAACGGTGCACACTCAGTAAGTAATCCTACAATTTTTTGTTTATAGCATAGTTTATATGGATTATTCCCAAAAAATTATACGTATTTTGGAAATGTTAAGTCGAATTAGTCTAGAATCGATTAATTTTATGGAAGAAAACCTTTCAAACAGCTGTAGTCCGTAAACTTCACACGTGTCGGGCTGTGATTGGCTCATGTATTTAAGGATTCCTACAACATGAAATTTGTATAATGAGGAACGTATCTACGCGTTATAGGGGGGTCTACTGTACACATTGATTAATGGTTCATAGAATCCAGTCTCATATCTTTATTTCATTCGCATTATGTATTTCTAATCTTTAACATAGTGTACTGTACATTGCAAATATTTAAATACAGTAGAGCGTCGTTTATCCGAATCAATTGGAGACTCGGGTGGTTCGGATAACTTATTTTTCGGATAACGAATCATGTACGAAAAAATATATTAATTTATCCCATGTTGAAATTTCTCTCTGTTGCATGTCACTTTGCGTTGAATTTTCGTCGATGTTAAGCCTAACGAAGACTATTGTATCATTAAAAATTATTTTTTTATTTTGTACAAACAAAATAAATTAATTGAAAAATATAAAGACAATAAAAAATTATACTTCAGATGTTAATTTAGTATCAAAAACGTAAAATATTTGAGTAGCCCGAGAAATAGCCGAAGATTGCAGCGCCATAGCACTAGCGAAAATTTAAATTTGCCGACTGGAATGCTTTCGGATAACGGACGTTTCGGATAACCAGCTTTCGGATACACAACGCTCTACTGTAATTCACACAATTCTTTAAATATTTGCAATGTAGTTTTGTAATCACTAATAAAAATATCTTAATATTAAAGTTTCTATCAGTAATTACAATTTTATTAATTACAAAACAATTTTGTTTTACTCTGTTTTACTTGTTTTCTATTTACTTATTGTCTTAACTAATTTTCATTTTCTCACCTTAAACACAAAAATGTCTGATAACTTACATATTTGTTTGTCTTATGTCATATTCATTTCTCTCATTTCTTGTTATTTTCTTTTATATTGGTGAATAATCCTAATTAATGTATTCATTTATTACTCACAAAGACGTACTGTATTCAAAATTTTCAGTGTATCTGCTGTTTGGAGACCTTTGAACTCCAGGCAGGCCTATGACATACATACATACAAGAAAGACTTCAACCGTACACAAGGTGTTTAGCCAGCAGAAAAGCTGCATCAGGCACAGTTTTGCCAAATTGTCTACTGTCTGGGCTGTCACAATCAGGTCAAAATAGTCAGACCTGACTATGAGCAAATATTAGGGTAGTGGATATGTGCAAACACAGAATAGTTGCCAATTTACCAGCTTTTTTATTTCCAATAAAATGGTAATTTTCAAAATGTTACTACAGGTATACCTTGCCTTACGTCAGTAATTGGTTCCAGGAGAGGCGACTTAAGTCGAAAAACGACATAAGTCGAATTTACTTGTCACTAGGCTAAACCACAAATAACCATTCCCAGTTCTGTATTTTATTTATAAATGCATTTTTAATAATATATGGTTAATAAGAATCTATTTTAAGCTTAAAAACAAATAAATTTTAGTTTTTAATATAGTACAGAAAAAAAAGTAATCTAAATTTACAAAGACATGTACAGTACGTACCGTACACTACATACTTGCAGATATACATGTTTACAATTTGGTGATGACTCTTTATTTGTGAATGTGGTTTGCTCTAAGACATTATAAAATAAGATGATTTTGTAAGGTTAAATAACAAATACAGTTATTAAAATTATTTTGTGATAGTAAAAAATAAACTAATTTATGCTAAATTTACCAATATCGAGTGGCGCTGACAACGAAACCAAACAGTAGATATTGGAACTACCATGGAAAATACCAATATTGAGCTCTTAAAGACCACTAAATAAGACGACACTGAGTCACAGATGTTTTCACATTTCGTTCTCTAGGATTTATGATGATTATATTAACATTTACTGTAAATGTATATATTTTAATATGATTTTATGTGCTTTTAAAACTTTTCTAGTGATATTACAACTTCAATATTTTTGGTGGACAGACATAAAGTCAAATAAAATGACTTAAACCTGACTTATTTTTCCATATATTTTTTTTTTGACAAAAGACGTATAATCTAAAACGACGTAACTCGAGGTATACCTGTAATGGTAAATTACTAGAAATTTCTTAAATTTTGACTCCAAATGTGAAAATTAGCACTCAAATGATTGCTGACTCATGGATAAGTCAGCAACTAAGCAATCACTAGTTTGCTATGTTCAATTGACTTTCCTTTACACTATTTTGAAAAAATAACAGTTTCATTGCCTGAAAAATAGTCTGCTGTAACTTTTTAATTAATTTGATTAAAAAGTGACTGTTGTGTTATAGCAGTTATGAGCAATCAGCAGCTCACAGCTTGCATACAACCTGTGAGATCCTAATACATAGCCACCAAGGTTTTGGCAACAATTTTATTTTCTTGTTTTCTCCCTTAAGCCATTACAGGACTCTAATTAAACTGATATTCATGAGAAAGAATATTCACACTAAACTTGGCCAGTATAAATATGAGAATAAACTATATATTACTAGTTTGAATATTATTAGCATATATTATTTTAGTACCTAATATACTGCAGTTTTAGAGTATGTTGATGCTCAGCAGGCTGGAAGCCTTGTGGCTGCACGCCATATTTTAAACCGTATATATATATGTATATATATCTTCACTTCACCTTCGTCTGTCCTATTTGTT